ATATATATATATATATATATATATATATATATATATATATATATATATATATATATATATGTTTTTTCTCTCCTGTAAAACTCGAAGAATTGTTAACTTCTCACACATCGTAGCGATTCAATATGAATGGTCGCTGCACGTTATTGTTTTACATCGAAATCGTTTTATCGTACTTTTCAATCGATGCTACGGGATATTTCACACAACGCGGTGTTTGAACGAAACATAAAACGTCGGGCGATTTCATTCCTATTTAGGGAGGGGAGAATTTAGTGCGTGGGATCTCAAAACTAGTTTTCGGTAGGAATAAATTAGTAATTCGTCCAACCTTCAAACGCCGATAAAGATCATGATTATGCATCGCATAAAATATAACTATTACCATGCGCATCATCACAGTAATGTTACGATGTTATTTCGCGATTTCTGCTAATCGTAGCGCACTCGCGTGACCTTTTACAATAACGTACCGTAGGTTCGATGGTATTGCTGGTACGGCTTGTACGTAACGCCCGCTCTGAGGACTGTTTCGATTTAAAAACTTTCTGGAACTCCGAACAGGTCTTACCCAACCATATCCTTACCGATTCATCATAATAACCGATCTTACTACCGTATATGTTCCATGGGTAAGATGATATTATTATATAGATTAAAACCGTACGTACGATCCCATTAACTTCTACGTCATCCGAGTATTTCTTAAAAAAAAAAAAAAAAAACATTTTCATGGATAAAATTGTTTTAATAAAATTGTACGAATCAATATTTTTATTATCTCTATCGCTTAGAATAGCGTATCTCAACGGATGGTACGTGGAAAGAAACAAGAAGGTACTCGGGGAAAAAAGGGTAATGGTGGAAAACGTAAAAATGATGTACTTCAGTTAATAAATGATTTACTTAGTATTTTATAATGAGCACTGTGTTTGCGGAAAGGGCTTCATCGCCGTACACATACACGTTCATATTTACGAGTTAACTTATCCGCTGAACGGATTAATTTAAAAAATTAAGTGTAACCAAACAACCCTAAAGATCACATATAAAATTAAATTGTAAAATTTACATTATTTTTTCACTCGCTATGGCGCTCACTGATTAAAATAAATAAATACCATATAATTATTTTTATTTTATTTTCCATTAAAACTAATTTTATAATTTCTATAATATCTATAAATATATTTTCTGTAATTATCAATCCTATGTTGACAGTTAAGAGTACGTAAAGCAACGACGAGAGGTCATGGGGTACGTGAATAAAAAAAGGGTTGGAAACGCTGACTTAGAAGTTAATTTTCATGTAGGCATAGATTTTTTTTTTGTCGAAATAATGTCCCTATGTATCATGTAAATTATAATAAGCAATTTATTTTATGCGAGCCGTTAGAGATAAGATAATATGGTAGAAATATGGTTTCCGTGACCACGTACTTCACTTATTTGCATAAGCAAACCTACAGAGTGTGTCGGGTGTGCCAGGGAACACCCTGCGACTCGTGTAAACCTATG